CAGAGACTCAAATTCCTGCTGAATGAGCTGCAGGTATGTGAATGTATAATGTGTGGGACAGGGGGGCATATCTTCACCCGTGGCCGCTACCCGGCCAAACCCTGCCTTCCCCGGTGTTTCGGGACACCCTCATCCAGTCACCCTAGTCAACTTCTCAGTGGATCGCTCAGGTTCTGCACCCACCACCGGCATCCAACGGAATCTGCCGAATCGACGGCGGCTCAACTCCATTCCTGGTCAGCTCGCGAGTCAACTTTATCCCAGGTCACCACCGTCCATCAACTAGGGGCACTTTACCTTCCACCATCGGAAGGATTTTTCGACCCTTACAGGTTTCGATCCCGGGATGTATGTATGTATGTATGCATGTATGTGTGTGGTGGCGGTTATCCCATGAGGAGGTCGATGTGACCTAGGAAGAGGGGGCCGGGGGTGGTACATATTCGCACCCCCCTCTCCTCTCCCCCCCCCTTTCGTCCCCTCCAGGGCAGGCGGCCCCTCATGCCCCCCGGCATGGACGTGCATCCCGATGTGAAGGAGGTGGTGGCGACTTTCAGAATGCTGTCCGAACTGCCGCATGACAGGTGTGCATGTGTATGTATGTGTTTATGTATGTATGTATGTATGTATGTATGTATGTATGTATGCATGTATGTATGTATGTATGTATGCATGTATGTATGTATGTACGTGTGTATGTATGTTTGTTTGTTTGTGTGTGCTGTGAGGAAGAATGGAGCGTGTTTCGTTTCTTCAATAAGGCCTCTCAGCCGGCGCCCCACCTGCGCACGTACCCCTGCACCGCCCCGTCGCGTTTGCCTTCACAACACACACACACACACACACGCACACACCCCTACGCGGCTGCTGTTCATCTTTTAGGCAGCATGCAAAGAGATACATGTACCCCTGTCCGTCCAAAGCTAGTAGAAGTACAGCAATCTTGGAGGCACATAGTCCATAACGGGTATCCATGAATCGTCTAGATAACATCAATGTCACTGACTTTCCCCGCCCGCTTTCACACTCGTGTATGTGCGCACATACATGCACATGTACGTACATACATACGCACAGCCTGGGCGCCTACATCATCTCGATGGCTAAGACAGCTTCCGATGTGTTGGCGGTGGTGCTGCTGCAGAGGGAGACGGGTGAGAGCCGGTTTGGGGAAGGGAAAAGCGGGGGAAAGGTACGGATGGGGGGGAAGAATGGGGGGGGTTAATACAGGGTTTCGGTTGGGGGGGATGGGGTGGGTGGGAGGGATAGCACGTACATGGACGTCAAGGGAGGGGGGAAAGCTCAGCTTTGTGTTGGTCAGACAGACATCCTGGCCTCTACACCTATCTTTACTTCTTTACGGCTTGGCATTACTGCTTTTCTTCTGCGCTTATTTTAGTCTTGGTGGCTAGGTAGGTAGGTAGTTTTTTCCGACATCTTCTTCACTACGTCATCCCGAGGTCGCCGCACTTCAAGAACGCCTTTTGATCAGTTCTACGTCTGGTACGCTCTTTCCCTGGCAGCAGCTTCACTCGTTCGTGGTTCGTCTTTCCCCAACCTCTTGGACGTATCCAAGGCCTTCTAGAGGAACACAAAGGAGGAGATTGGTTAGGACTAGCTACGTACATTCCATCCCTGTCCCTGCTTGTGTATGTGTATGTACGAGTGTGTACGCGCACCCTCGTAGTGCAGCCGCACCCTCGTGCGATGATTACCCCTCCTCCCCCCGCCTCCAAACACATACATACATACGTGTTTACATACACACAGGCGTGCGCCCCGCCCTCCGGGTGGTTCCTCTGTTCGAGACGCTGGATGACCTGCACAACGCCCCGGAGACCATGACCACGTTGCTCAGTAACGACTGGTATAGGGCCCACATAAACGGAATGCACGAGTGCATGATCGGTAGGTGGGGAGTGATGTGGCGACGGGGAAAGATGTTGTGGGCGGGCATGTGGGTGTCAGGCGGCGTTTTTTCCCAAATAGTATTGCTGCGTGTTCCCGTGTGTGGCTTGGTAAGTATCAGGGGTTGGGGATCTGGGTGTTTTTGGGGTCCGTGGTGGGGGAGGGGGGTGGGCCGGAGGGAAGGCTTTGGGTTTCTGCCGTATTTGAGAGAAAACCGTCGTGCCATCTTGATGCCAATGTACGGTGTCCGGATGGTTGAGGCGTACCGTTAACGTACGGCAAACCTCTTTGCCCCTCCCCCTGTCCAAGGGTGTCACCGCTGATGTATGTATGTATGTATGTATTCACGTATGTACGCATCCCCCCAAATCCCCTCTACCTCCGCCCTGTTCCCTCGTAGTCGGCCCCTAAGCCGCCCACACCACCATCAACACCCCCCCTACCCCCTCTCCCCTTCCGCCCCCTCAGGCTACAGCGACAGCGGCAAGGACGCCGGTCGCCTGGCTGCAGCCTGGGCCTTGTACGAGACACAGGAGAAGCTGGTGGCTGTGGCGGCTAAGTGGGGGGTGAGCGGCACTGCCCGGTGACAACACTGACGCGTACGCACATGCGGACATACGGACATGCAAACACGAAAACACATATCGTATGCGGTTTTTGCCATTTTCATCGACAAAACGCCCACTCGTGTATCTGCATGTCTGTATGTATGTACAGATGTGCGTAAGATGCACGACCCAGTTGCGTGCACACCCGTGTGTGTGTATGCGTGGGTGTGCATCAGCTTGGCACCAGCTTCACTCGCTCGTGGTTCGTTTTCTCCCCCCGTAAACCTGTAGGGCCCCCCCCGGTCTATCTCTGGTATCTGCGTCAGTCCTCCGTGGTTCGTCTTATCTCCCGGTGTACCCCTCCTTACTTCTCTTTCCCCCCTCCCCACGCCTTCCCCCCCCGTCCCCCTCCTCCCCCTCCCCTCCTCCCCCTCCTCCCCCTCCCCCTCCTCCCCCTCCTCCCCGCTCCCCCTGGATGGACAGACCCGGCTGGTGCTGTTCCACGGTCGGGGCGGAACCGTGGGTCGCGGTGGCGGCCCGACCCACATGGCCATTCGCAGCCAGCCCTCCGGAACCATCAACGTGAGTACGTATGTATGTAGGCGTGTGTAT